TCTTTTCTGATTCCATACAAATTTTAGGATTGTTTGTTCTACCACTGGGAAGAATGCTGGTGTGATTTTGATAGGGATTACATTGCACGTGTAGATTGCTTAGACACAATCAACATTTTAACAATATTTGTTCTTCCAATCCATGAGTATGGAATGTTTTTCCACTGTTCTGTGTCTTCTTCCATTTCTTCCATAACCTCTCCATAGTTTTCTGTGTATAGATTTTTCACCTCTTTGATTAGGTTTATTCCTAGGTATTTTATGGTTTTTCGTGCAATTGTAAATGGGATCGATCCCCTGACTTCTTGTTCTACTGCTTCATGCAAGGAATTTCTGTACATTGAATTTATATACTGGGACTTTGCTGAATTCCTGGCTCAGTTCTAGCAGTTTTTTGGTGGTCTTTTGGGTTTTCCACATAGAGCATCATACTGTCTATGAAGAGTGAAATTTGACTTCCTCCCTGCCTATTTGGATGCCTTTTATTATTTTGTGTTGTCTAACTGCTGAGGCTAGGACTTCCAACACTATATTAAATAACAGTGGTGAGGGTGGACATCCTTGTCGTGTTCCTGACCTTAGGGGGAAAGTCTCAGTTTTTCCCAATTGAGGATGATATTAGCAGTGGGTTTTTCATATATGGCTTTTATGATCTTGAAGTATGATCCTTAAATCCCTACTTTGAGGGTTTTTATCAAAAAATGAGGCTGTATTTTGTCAAATAGTTTTTTTTTTTTTTGCACTAATGAGAGGATCATGTGTTTCCTATCCTTTGTTTTATTAATATGATTTAGCACAATGACTGATTTGCAGATTTTGAACCAGCCCTGGATCCCAGGAATAAATCCCAGTGATCGTAGTGAATAATTCTTTTAATGTGTTGTTGGATCCAGTTGACTAGTATCTTGTTGAGAATTTTTGCATCCATGTTCATCAGAGGAATTGGCCTGTAGTTCTCCTTTTTAGTGGGGTCTTTATCTGGTTTTGGAATCAAGGTAATTCTGGCCTTGTGGAAGGAGTTTGGAAGTTTTCCTTCCATTTCTGTATTTTGGAGCAGCTTTAAAACAATCAGTGTTGGGGCGCCTGGGTGGCGCAGTCGGTTAAGCGTCCGACTTCAGCCAGGTCACGATCTCGCGGTCCGTGGGTTCGAGCCCCGCGTCGGGCTCTGGGCTGATGGCTCAGAGCCTGGAGCCTGTTTCCGATTCTGTGTCTCCCTCTCTCTCTGCCCCTCCCCCATTCATGCTCTGTCTCTCTCTGTCCAAAAAATAAAAAAAAATAAAAAATGTTGAAAAAAAAATTAAAAAAAAAATCAGTGTTAACTCTTCTTTAAATGTTTGGTAGAATTCCCCTGGAAAGCCATCCAGCCCAAGACTATTTGTTGGGAGATTTTTAATTACTGATTTCATTTCTTTACTGGTTATGGGTCTGTTCAAATCTTCTATTTCTTCCTGTTTCAGTTTTGGTAGTTATAGGTTTGTAGGACTTTGTCCATTTCTTCCAGATTGACCAGTTTGTTGGCATATAATTGCTCATAATAGTCTCATATTATTGTATTTCTGTGGTGTTGGTTGTGATCTCTCCTCTTTCATTCATGATTTTATTTACTTGGGTCCTTTGCTTTTTCATTTTGATCGATCTGGTTAGGGTTTTATCAATTTTGTGATTCTTTCAAAGAATCAGCTCCTGGTTTCACTGATCTGTTCTACTGTTTCTTTGATTTTGATATCACTGATTTCTGCTCTAACCTTTATTATTTTTCTTCTGCTGGTTTTGGGTTTTATTTGCAGTTCTTTTTCCAGGTCTTTAAGGTGTAAGGTTAGGCTGTGTATTTGAGACCTTCCTTCCTTTTAGGAAGGCCTGGATTACTGTATACTTCCCTCTTATGACTGCCTTTCCTGCAACCCAGGGCTTTTGTGTTTTCATTTTTATTGGCCTCCAGATACTTTTTAATTTCCTCTTTATTTCTTGGTTAACCCATTCAGTCTGTAGTTGGATTTCTCTAATCTCCAAGTATGCGTGGTCTTTCCAAATTTTTTCTTGTGGTTGATTTCAAGTTTTATAGCGTTGTGGTCTGAAAATATGCAAGGTATGATCTTGATCTTTTTGAACTT